TTATTATTATTGTGTAATTTTGTAGCAGTATTATTAAATGGCCACAAATTCTTTGATGTTTCTTCCTTGTGACTGCTTCAACCATATAGAATATAGCAGAAGTAATGTTTGGTTTCTGAGCCATAAAAGACCCTGGTGTTTCCTCTTGGTTCTCACGGAATGCTCACTGTCTGGAAGCTGCCTCTCAGGCTGCTCCCTTTTGGAAACCTGGCTGCCACAATGTGAGAAGGCTAAGCCACACAGAGAGGTCACCTGTATGTACTGTTTGACAGTCCCAGCTGAACTCAGCCTCTGACCCTTATCCCAGTCCCAGACATCAGGTAGGTGAGTGAAACAGGCTCCAGATAATTCCAGTCATCAGTCTCAGGTGGTCTTCAGATGTTTGTGTTTCCTACATGAGGCCCCAGGCATCATGGAACAGAGACAAGCCATTCCTGTTGTATCCTGTCTGAGTTCTTGGCCCTGAATCTGTGAGCCTAATAACATGACTATAGTTTTACCCCACTAAGTTTGGAGTGGCTTGTTATGCAACATAGTAACCAGAAGAAACATACATATAGAAACATATATATATATATATATATATATATATATATAAAAAATCAACAAATTAATATAAAAACACAGCAATATCTAAGAGGCGACAGTCGCATCAAGAAACGATAGTTCCTTAAGAGTCCCTTCTGTCCCCTTCCAGTTAATGCTTTCCAAGGGTAATCACTATCCTGACTTCTAATACCATAGTTTAGTTTTGTTTGTTTTGAACTTTATATATAAACTGAGCACCAGTTTTAATTATTCTTCTTCTTTTCTTCTCATTTTCATCTGATCATGAAGCCCTTGTGATCTGCCTTCTAGGGTCCACATGTTCACTTTCTGCATCCTTACCACCCTACTTTAGGCCTTATCTGCTCTTGTGTGGTCTTTTGCAAACCAAAAAACAAACAAACAAACAAACAAAAAAAAAAAACCACAAAACAAACCCACTGCCATCAAGTTGATTCCAATTCACAGCAACCCTATAGGACAGAAAAGAACTGCCTGAGAGGGTTTCCAAGGCTGTAAATATTTACTGAAGCAAACTGTCTCATCTTTCTCCTTCGGAGTGGCTGGTCGGTTCAAATCTCCACATTTATGGTTAGCAGCCAAATGCTGTAACCACTACACCACCAGAGCTCCTTGGTCTTTTGCCAAGGCCCCCAATTTCCAATCTAATAGTTTATTTATTTTTGCACCTCCCTATTATCCTAAGAATAAAATCTAAACTCCTTACCACGGCCTATAAAGCTGTCTTGGACCTGACCCCTGCCTGCGTTTAGCCTCATCTCACAATATTTCCTTTGTGTACTTCCCATGCATCAGACACACTGTGCTGATTACAGTTTCTTGAGCACCCCTTACTCCCTGCATGCTGCAAGTTTTTCCTTGCCCTGGTATATGCTGGTCCTTTGTCTGACACTTCCATTTGTTTTCCTTTTTTTAAAAAAGAATTTAAAAAATTCACAAAATTCACCGCCATCAATTCTGGCTCATAGTGACTCCCATTGGGTTTCTAAGGCTGTAAATCTTTAAGGAAGGA